TTATTCTTCATATGTAATTTAAAAGCAAACTTTTCTTTATAAAAACTTCAATTGAATTTCAATAAAGTTAAAAGCATGGCCTCACCATTAATATTTTAAAAAAAATATATATATATATAATATTGAAAACAAGAGAGATAATAGTTATAAGAGCATTTGTTTTAAAAATAATGAATTATAAAGGATGAAATATTGTTTCAGAAATTGAAGATAAATTTTCAGATGATCTAATAGAAGCCCTTTTTTATGATAAGCTAACAAGTACAAAACAATCAGCTAAGAATAAACAACAGAAGATAAAGAACAAACCTATGTCATCAAGACTAGCATTTAATAGTGCACCTATAGGAATAACAGCTCTTACACCTAATCAGAAAATACAGTGGTCTTTAATTTAGCTTGTTCAACCTATTCAACCTTATCAGCCAGGTCAATCTTTACATTTGGAGTTTAGCCTAGGAGTAGGACCATTCTGTAGTAGTGTTTCTCAGACTCTATATCAAATGCAAGAATGACAAGCATATGATAATCAGCAGAATGCTTGAAACAATTTGTGAGTCTCACAACAGAAATGAAGATATATAATTCAAATAGGCCTGTAAGACACAATAGAAGTGCAAGAATAGTGTGTTTCATTTGTGAGGAAAGAGGTCATATTACTTGAGATTGTCATCAAAAGAAAATGAATCAGTCTCTTCATAAGTTTAGCTCTAGAGAAAAAGAAAGTTGAGTACAATTGAGGGATAAAAAGTATACTAAGAGGAGAAGAATAAAGGAAAAGAAGATAGTAAAAAGAATGTATTAGCAGTCATTAGTAACCTATTGGGAGAAAAAAATAAAACCAACAGCAGTAGTAATGATGTAGTAAAAAACAAAGTTCTATTATTTGTAAAAAGTGTAAAGACATTAACTCAAATGGAAGTTCTGTAACAATTCAGGCCAACAAAGGATGAGTTGAATTGAGTAGGCTTAAAGTTAAAGAAATTAAAAAAAACAAGGATAATAAAATTAGTGCATGTAAATCAAAAGAGGATGTACTTTCTACTAAAAGTAAGCTTAGTATTTCTTGTATTGAAGACAGGATCAAAGAAGTACTATTTAGTAATAGACTTAAAGAGGCTAAATTAAGTGTTATCAAAGAAATCTTTCTGCTTTGAAGAGCTTGGTGGGTTTTTAAGAATAATAGAAAGCGATTTATAGATAATAGTATTTGACTTGTGAGAAGAATATTATTATATATTAATATATAAATGAGCATAGTGTTTTTTGAGCTTTTAAATAGAAGAAGAATAATTCAATTATATGGTGCTGCCATTCAGTTTATGACAGGCTCCAAGGATATTTTTAAAGTTAACGAGAGCCTTGATTAGGATATGGAAGTTGTAAGGAATTTTTTGCAGAAATTATATAGATAATATATAGATTGCATATCTTACAAGAGAGACTTTGTTGAAAATAAGGAATCAGATAATAGAAGCTGATCTGAAGGGATGCAGCTTAGTTAAAGCATTAGACAAAGGATGTTAAAAGTCATCAAGAAGGATAAAGATTTATGAGCTGGTGGTAGACACAGAAAAAGATTTAGTGGAGATTTTAGAAAAAAAATTGTTAAAAGTTCAAAAGGATTTGGTGAGTTTGAAAAGTCTTCAGACAGTTTTGGCAAGGAAGTTAGTGGCAGTAGTAGGTCAAATTCAGAGCATATTATAGGCATTTCTATTAGCACAAGTGAAGTGCCTGGAATTGTATATAATAATAGAAGCAGCAAATTAAAATTATTGAAAATAAAACAAAAAGATGTGTTTAATCAAAAAGGCTTGAGAGGATTTAGAATGACTAAAAGAAAACATTGTAAATTAGAATAGGAAATGAGTATATAAACAGCTTAAATAAAAGCAGATTTGTAAATGCATTAACAATAGTATAGTGTAGGGTCTATTTGAATTACAGAGAAGCAGAAATTGGTCACATCTATTCAAAGCAGTGGAAATTGTACAGTTAAAAAGTTTAGCCACATTAAGAGTATTGCAATCTTTTGCAACATGTCTAAGGCATTCTTGGATAATTATATATATAGACAACAAAGTGGCTCTAAGGCCAATTACTCAAGGAAGATCATGCCCATGGCAGAAGGATATAGCAAGATTTTTTTGATAGTTCTGTATAGAGAACAATGTGTAAATACAAGAAATCAGATGGGTTCCAAGTTTAAAGAATCTAGCAGATTACCTTACAAGAATTTGGGATACAGAAAATTGGCAGTTAGATGATCAGACTTTCAAAAGGTTGAAGAACATATAGGGTAAGATGTTAATAAATAATTTTGCAAGTCATTTAAACATAAAAAAGATGCACTTCAACAGCTATTATTTTTGCCTAAATTCAGAAGCTATCAATTGTTTCACCCAAAATTGAACAAAAAAATAAATTATGCATGTCTATTTTTTAGTTTAATTTACTGGATATTATTGCATAGTCAGGAATGCAGAGCATAGTTGTTGTTAATTCTGCCAGAATGGACATTAGTTCTGTAATGGCCAATGTTCTTATAGATATTAAAAGAGATAGTGGAGTTACTGTCAGCAATAGAGATCATTATTTCAGAACTATTAGAACAAAGAGAACTATGCAGAAATCTAGCATGAAAGCTGTTAGCAACAAGAATTAATTGGTCCAATAATAGTTAAGTAGAGCAGATGATTTTGTATTTAGGTCAATCACAAAGGACTATAAATTAGGATTGAATAAGGCATAGCAATTATTTGAAGAATTTTGTAGATGGGCAGAAGAAAATGTATGTCTGGCAGAAAAGATGTTTTGTATGAAGAACTATTTAGGAACAATATTAAAATTGTATAAACAGAAAGAGTTTAAAAATTCAGTAAAGAATGTAAATGTAAAGGAGATAATGAGAGGAATTAAATTGATAAGAGCTCAAAATCATCAATTTGACTGGTCATGAAATCTGTTTCCATTAAGAGCCTTGAAATATATCATAATGATCCATCAGATAAAGCAAATTCAGTAATTTAGTATCAGAATCTAGCTTTAATTGCTTTGAGATTTAGGATGATGTATAGACCAGATGAATTATGCAAGTTAAAGTTAAATAATTAAGAAAGAATAATGAATTTGATCTGAATTAGGGTCAGAAAGACAAAGAATAACCTGTTCACAAATGACAGATTTGTGTCAGTAGAATTAATTAAGAGTAGATTTTGTTCAGTACAGTTATTAGAAAAATATTTAAGTGTGAGGCCAGAGACCAAAGTAAATAAATCTTTATTTTTGTCTAAAAAACAGGAAGAAATATCAGTTTCAGCAATTTCATTAATTGTTAAAGAATGACTAAGTATGCAGAAATTAAGGATCATTTTACAGCTTATAGTTTACATATTGAAGGTGTGACTATAGCAATAGAAGGTGAGATGTCTTTGACTTAAATCAAGACAATTAGTGAATAGGATTTGAAGACAGTTATTTTGTATTTAAGAGTAGTAAAAACAACATAAGGGATGGTATCAAGAAAAATAGGGTTTTAAGATTATGATTTTGGTTTGATCTGTTTGAATTTTTGTTGTTTAATAGTAGAATATGTTTGCTTGTTATTGTTTATGTTAAGTATGCTTGTATTATATAATGAAAAGAAGGCATTCATATCAATTGATTACAAAAAAAAAAAAAAGAGAGAAAGAAAAGAAAACAAAAGAGAGACATAAAAACAAAAGAAGAGAATGCAATTTGATTCTCTTAATAATCTCATTTGTGTATTTCATAGTATTGTTTTATAAGGAATTAAATAACAAATGTAATGCTATAAATAAAGTCACATGGCAATCATTTGTCATAAGATTCATATCCTGTTTACTAATATATGTCATTTGTAATTTGTATATAATTAATAGGTATAGAGTTATGGATGTATGAATAGTTAGAGGAATGAAGTAATATCATGTCATTTAGATAAGTATAAGGTCATAATGAAAGGTATATAAAAGAGACAGTTTTAGGATTTTTTGAGTTACTTTTTCTCTTTGCTGTAAGCTTGATGCAAGTTTAGCTATTTATAAATCTCTTTCTCTTATCCAGAAAGAGAGGTGAGACAGGTAAGAACATAATAGCACAACTAGACAGGTTGAATGCTAAAGATAGTAGATAGCCCAGATGAACAGTCCAGATATCATACAGTGTTAGCAGGAAAATAAGCAATATAAAAATTATTACAAAGAGAGGGTTAGGAACGATTCTAGAAAACAGCTGGTGATCACATAATGCAATGAGGTGATATTCCATTTGTGTATTTCATAGTATTGTTTTATGTAAGATTGAATGACAATGTCTAATTACAAAAATCAATGATTCCTAAGAACAAATAGTATCCTTTAAATGTATTAAATATAAATTATAATATGAAAAAAAAACATTTATTATAAAATTATGCTCTTGATCAGAATAATCAGTTACTAGTATCTTAATAATATTATTATCATTAATCTCACTTGACATATCTTGAAGAATTCCAACTAAAGATATTTTTAAAGAACATTTGTTAGAGTTGACAATTTTATTAAGAATAGTTATATGTGTAGAGGTTGATACTGTCATCTAGAATTTATAAATAAAAATTATCACTGAAAACTATAATAATAATATAATAATAATAATAATAATAATAAAATACATGTATAATAAATATCTTTGCCCTTTGATTTGTACCATAATATCCAGGTACTATCTTGCCACCAACAGAAAAAAACTGTCTTTCTTGAGTTTCAAAATCTCCATCATCTAAACTAATTGGTAAGAACAAAGTCATCTCAATATCATAATCTTCATGTTCCACAGGATAAGTACCCAGAGCCCATACTACTAATAAATTCAAATCTTCCTTTTGTTTTACGTACTTAACTCTTACAATCGTATCTGATAACAAGGTACAAGAAAAACCTAGATCACAAAAACTTTGAAATTAATAGCTCTATATATATACATATACAACATATTATATAAAAATAAGCAAATTCAAACATATATATATCTAACTTTAGAAAAGCGCAAATATAAACTCACATTAATATTATTAAAATAAAATAAGTATTATAATATGTAAATAATTATGACAACAAAAAAATCTACGTAATAAATTTCAAAACACAAAAAATAATTATAAGAAACATCTTAATAAAATAGTAACACTGATTTCATAAGTAGCCATTAATCCAATAATACAGTTACCTAAAATATAAAGAAACTATAATTGGCTTAATACAACTCAAAGTTTAATTTCATAATTTTCCTTTAATGACAAATTACTAATGCGAATTAACAAATGCTAAACTTATTTAGAAAAAATCATGCATACATACGTATATATGAACAAAATTATAAAAACAGGTTCAAAATACGTTAATCAAAAATACAATAATGTTGTATACCAAATGTAATTTCTATCTTTTACAGTTTTGAACTGCCTAAGCTCGAATATATACTATCTAACCAGATACAAACAAAAAAGAAAGTTAATTACAATCATAAGCAGAATCCAATTAATTGGTTGATACAATTCAATCACCCGGACAACTTATTTATATACTATAAAATACTTTTCGAAAACATAACGTTTCACTAATAAAAATAAATTTTTTTTTACATATATATTCATATAAATACTAAAAACTACCTTTAAAATTAATATTTTATCTTTTATAATGCAATATAACCAACTATTGGCTTTGAAATACTGATAAAAACTACATGCTTATACCCCTCCTGGGAATTCCTATTAAATTTTTAAAAAAATTTCATAATGCCGTAACTGAGCACAACTTATATGGCTATCTTATGTTTAACTTTAGCAAGTAAATGAAATCCCTGGGCTATAATTAGCTAATCCCAAAATTCAATTAAATTTGTATACTAAATATTTATAATAAAATAAAAAAAAATTAACAATTATAAAAAATAAAATAATCTAAATAGTTCAAAATTAAATTCTGTTATAATATAATATTAAAACTACAAAAAATAAACAATTAAAAAAATTTCTGTGACTATGACACGGGCAGAAAACTAGTCATAAGTTATAACAAAAGTCTTGTAGCTGATTGCAAAAAATCTTACAAAGTATTAGATACCTAAACAAGAATCAAGATAAACTTAAAAATGAGATAAAACTAAAAAATTAAAATAAAATAAACATTAATTTAAATAAATTAAGATTATATTAACTATACTTTTAGCAAATTAAAACTCTAATACTTTATGCTCCTTGGTTTCAAAACTACTTGACAACATTTTAGTAAAATCATTTTTATTTAATAAAGTTTTTAAATTCTGATGTTTTAAGTATTATTTTTTTGACAATTGTATAATATTACATTATATGTATAACTATCTGATTTTTAGTAGCTAACAATACATCAAAATCCAAATAAAATAAGTATTGCTAAAAGAAAACCTAAAAATTTAAATATAACTTATATTTAAATTTTTAGGTTTTTTTTTAGTGATACCCAAATACAATCATATCTGTGTTATATTACCTTTTTTTAAATATATAATTAAGATAAGATTATAGCTCAATTAATGTTGATTATCTCAGTAATTTGAATTTGAATTAGACATATATATTTTAATTAGAATAGAACACTATCTACAAGTTCAATATTTCTACATTCTAGTTTACAAGTCCAGTGAAACAAAGTTGCCTAACACTGCAGCTCAAAATATAGAACATACAAAAAAAGAAATTTTATTCTGCTCAATATGTGGATATAACTAAGGTAGGAACATAACCCAGTGAGGATATTACTCAGGTACAATTGTATTTAATGGTTTTTCCTTTTTTTAGGAAAAGATCACTTGGTGCTATTCAAACTTGGCAAGACTAATTTGATTCTGTGTTTTACATTACCGCCTCCCTTTTCTGAAGTTGGAGAAAAAGATATTTGAGTAAAATTAGAAAAAAATTTTCGGAATTTTTTTTTTTTTTTGAAACGTTCTGTAACTAAATTTTTAGAAATAGCCCATAACCATACCTATACTTTCCAGAATTGTTTCGTTGCTAAGGAGAGAAGGTGAAGATGATAAAGAGAAGATAAAAAGTGATTCACATTGATCTGGCCTTAAAAAAGGTTGTTTAATTCAAGACATAAAAAAAAGCCAATGTGCATATTAGCACTTAACTTTTTGATATTCCTCCAATCTTATGTATTCATAAAAACATTTTGCTGGCAGTTAATATAAACTATACTAGGCAAACTATAGTAAGCCGCAAATCAGTAATTAACCCGGCCATTATGACTTAACACTGTAATATGAAAATTTTAAAGTTTCATTTTGTCTTTTCACTTTTTGCATTTATATAAAAATTTTAGCCAATTAGGTTTAGTTTTATTCTTTGATTCTAGAAAATCCCGATAGCGTTGTACATCGCAGATCATTTCTATATTTGGAAATACCATATATGGAAAAATCTCTGACTGTACTATTATGTTCCTGTATTCTAGTGATGTGAGTTGGTAGCTACCGGTAGAGATCTACCACCAGTATCTACCGGTAGATACCGGTAGATAACATTAGATAATTAATACGCAGGGTAGATACCATTAGTTAAAAATAGAAGCCAATAGAATTTATTCATTTATTATAATAATAATACGATTAATAAATATATGATACTAAAAGCTTATAGTCAAAAATCACAAGAATATTTCAACTTTTTTAATGAACAATTTTTTTAAAAAAACTGATTGATAACTTTATTCATAGGACTGAACTCTATAAATTCGACAGTCAATTTTTTTAAAAAAATTCTATAATTTGGTGCAGTATATCAAATACATAAATTTTATTAGCAAACTACAATCATAAGAAAATTGAACTGTTTTCCATAATTTGAGTATAAGCTTCTGGTATTTAAATATATTAGATATATATAACTTTAAGGAGCCTGTCACCAAAGTAATAGAGAGATTATTATTGCAAGACAGATGATTTAATGGTCCAGATTTGTCATTTACCCTTTTATGGTTGTTCTTTTTTCTTTTAATGATGATTTAATTCACGATACAAGCTTGTATATGTAGGTAATTTTGGGTTAGTAAGAATAATTGCATATGATTATTTAAAATTTGAATAGCCAGAAGTGTTAGTAATCAGTAATAGGAGTATAGAATAGCAATTATAGTTATGTCATAAATGCAGAAAGAACAAGAATGTTACTAATTTGTATAGAGGCACTTAAAGTTTCTTGACCCGAGTACTTTTTTTTTTCACTATCACTCATCTTGTAAGGCTGGCTTTATCACAGCTTCCCTATCTAACCAGTTTTATATATATAAAAAGATAAGACAATTATAGGCTTCACGGCTGTAGTAGCAGTACAAGAACCATTATATGCATAAGTCTTTTAGTGAATTCAAATAGAGCAACGTATCTGAACCTCTTGTAGCTATATGTTCTCTGGCAGAGCATACAGTATTAAACCTTATATTGTGTTTACCTTTTACTTACACATAGAACATAGAGTAGAATATTGTTCGACTATTCATTGTTATGTAGACGTTTTGAGTAAAGCCTTATTTCATTATTGTTTTCAGGTTTAGGACCCTATAAGGATTGTTATATGTTTATACATTTATTTTTAGTGCTTGAGTTAGTGCCTATAAAAAATAAATATATATCTAGAATTTCTGTAGATTTTAAGAATTTACCATCACTAATCCAAAATAAGAAAGTAATTGAGGTTCATAGTTAAGCATAAAATAAATAATAATTATAGAAGTAATTCTGTCCTGTAGAACCATATGAGTAATGTGATTGGTTAGATAACAATACTATATCGGTCAAATCTGCAATGTGGCACAAGAAAGTATATTAATAATTTGTGCTTCACAGATGATACATAGTTTATTATCACATGTAAATTAAGAGTACGTCATTGATAAAAAGTCTATTGTTCTAATAGACTCAAATTTAGTATATATAGAGGTAAAAAATTAATAATAAAGGTTAGCTTTTTCTCTCACTAGTAATTGACCAGTGCCCAAACATAAATAAATCGCTACTTATCTGTGTGGAATTGACCCTGTAGTGTCTTGTGTGTTGTGGAAGTAGAGTTGTATTGGGGTGTTGAGTAGTAAACACTATTGAAACCTTTATATTGTGGACCAACCAGTACCAAATCGAAGTGGTGCTCTTGTAATTAAGCTAGATCAATAGTAAGAATCCATCTACTACTAACCCGCACAACACTAATTCAAAATAAGCAAGTAATTAAAGATAAGTTAAGCATAATTATAAAAGTAATAAGACTAAAAAAAGAATAGATTTAGTTTATGCGCATGATAAATTTAAAAGCCACTTAAAATTTACAAGTAAAAAAAAATTAGTAATCATAATTAAATAAAAAAAAAGCAAACTGCATAAAAGATTTCTATCGCAAAGCCAAAGTCTATAAAAATTTTGGGTTTGATAAATTTTTTAAATACTACAAAAATTAATATATAAAGGGAGTTTTTTTTTTTACCAATATTACTTTTAATAACGATAAAATGACTGATCCTGCTTGGAATGAATTTATAAAATATCTACCAACAACACCAAAAGGGCATCCAGTTGCCAAATGTATTCACTGTAATCATAAACTATTAGGCCAAGCACAACATCTTTGTGCACACTTAGATTCTTGTCAAAAATATTCAAGTTTTTTAAATTCAAATCAAAATGAATTTAATTTATTATCTAGCACTATTACTCAAAAAGACTCTAACTTACCACTTTATCCTTTCTTGTCACATCAATTAAACCCTATTGAAAAACAAACAATTGACAAAAAAATTGCATGCGCATTTTATGCAAGTGGTATTCCACATGCATTAATTGAAAATGATTTTGTTATCACAGCTTTAAAATCACTTTGTCCTACTTATAATCCACCATCCTGCTGGTTACTTAGCAATAATTTGTTAATTAATGAATATAAAGAAATTAAAGAACAAATTCAAAAAATTTATTCTAAAGAAAAATTTATTTCCATCTTAACAGATGGATGGTCGAATCAACACAATGAATCAATTATTAATTATATGACTTTAACAACACATGGTCCAATTTTTTTTAAATCAATGGCAACAAAAACTCATTCTCATAAAGCTGAATATATTGCAGAAGGAATTCAAAAAGTTATTTTAGAATTTAAAGAAAATTTTGTAGTTTCAGTTGTAACTGATAATGCAGCTAACATGCATGTAGCTTGGAATATTCTTCGTACCAAATTTTCTTCTATTCTTTTTTATGGATGTGCAGCACATTCAGCAAACCTGATTATTTCTGATATTTTTAAAAAATCTAATTCTACTGACGATGAATTACAATGGGCGCATAATACATTAGAAATAGCAAGTAAAATTACTAATTATTTTAATTCCCATCAAGTAGTAAAAACATATCTTCATGAAACTCAAAAACAAGAAATGAATAAAACTGTCGCATTAGTAAATCCTATAAAAACAAGATGGGAAACTCAATTAGCAGTACTTGAAAAATTATTAGAGTCAAAAAGCAGTATTCAGGTATTTATTTAATAATATATATATATAAACTATAAAATA